GACACCCCCTCCTCTCAGAGAACTGATGACTCCATACTTTCCTTGACATCATCCCCTGCCTGGTGGAGCAGGGAGGTTGGCACAATGTCCTCTCAGCACCGGCAGCTCGATTTGCAGCAGGACCTTGTGCTTTGGCTCTTCTGTTGCAGTCAAGCAGATGGTAGAGGTGTTGGTGAGACACCCAACTGCAGGGAACATGCTGTTTTCTCTATGATTTGTAAGTACCACGTGCTTTCTTCTGGAGCTTTGTGCTCAACACAAGTCAATGAAGAAAGAATTGTATGAAAAAGCAGACTTTGGTGCTAAAATATAAGCAAAGAGGAAAAAGAAAGCAACTGCATTTTACGAAAGGCAATGGATCAGTGATTTTCAGTTTAGCTTCCTGTCACCAGAACACAAAACTCCCATCACTTGGGCCACCCAACAGGCATCTTCCCTTAACTGTATCATCAATGAGTAAAACACCACTCAAGTTTGGCTAATGCCAGTTGAGCACATCATGTAATGGCTGCTGCCGTATTTTTCCAAAGAGGAGAAGTAAATACATGTGGCGAGGAACGAGGCCTCGATAAGAAACACAAGATAAAATTCCATGTAAACTCCTAACGGCATCCTGGTTTAAAATTATATGAATCCTGGTTTTGCAGAGTCTAGATCAAGGCTGTGCTGGGAAGCAGTACTGTGAAAAGTGACAATGCAGTGTGAACTAAAAGAAGACAGGGAGGAAACAAGATGTATACTTAAAAAGAAACTGTTGATATTTGGAATTTCGTAGGGTACAGACTCGCACAGTTCACATATGATATCTTTATGAACTTTGTCAACTCTCTAGAAAGAAGTACAAATGTTACGTTGGGCTTTGGAAGAGAGGTGAAGTGGCCTGGAGGTTCAAATGCAAAACTCTCCACTCACGGAGGCTGCAAACTTTGTGCTTACTCTTCATTCATTTGAATGCCTGCCCCCAAAATACCCTTGCTAGAATTTTCAAGCTAATAAAAGTTAATCACATCAGGGAGATGCTGTCAGGAAAAGTGAGTTTATGTTATCAACATCCAGAAAAGAGAAGGAACAATAGTAAGAAGATACTTTTTCATTAAAAGCTCTTTTAAATATGGTGGTAGTTTGTGGGAGCACCGAAAAAATGCGAGAAAGCAAGACTCACATTAAAAAGAAGAATCACGGTGGATGTGTCTCAGGACGAGCCCCTCTCTCCTAACAAGGGAGGCTAGGCTTTATTTTGTTCTAATTGCACTGCTTGTTCTTTCCAGTTTAAGAGGCATCACGCAGGTCGTGAGAGTTCCACTTGGAGTTTCACAAACTTTTTCTGGTAATCTCAGCCTTTTCTCATAGCCGGGCTTTCTGCCGTTGAAGTTTCCCGCGGATCGCCTTCTGCCCCGGGGGCGGGCCGGCGGGGGCAGCCGGCAGCCCTGCCCTTGCTGCCGCCCG